GGCGGGCCACACTCGCCACGTCACAGCGCTGTCCACAGATATAAGTGTGTTTTGTGCAGAGTACTCTTGCCGCCCATCGTCCGCAACCGCTTATTCGGAGGGCCGAATCCCACCTTGTTCACGGTTAGCCGCGAGAGGACGCCCGCTCCCCCATCCGCGACCTTAAGNCGCACTCGGTAGCATACAGCTCTGCTCTCCCGAGTTTCCGTCAATATCATCCTCGGTTGCACTACTCGCTTGCCCAAGCCAGAATAGAGGGTTGACTTAATGGCTCTCACCACGAGGTACCAACCAAATATTCTAACCCATAAGAGTCTGGAGTAAAGTTTGGATTCCGCGAATCATTGGGGTTCTCCTGATTTATGCACTCTTCAAATCGCGGTGGCACGCCATATGAAGCTGATGACTATATCCAGTATTCGCGAGGCTGTTCATACAAATCCCTATAAGTGATTTGGACTGGGGGTTTTCTAAGTCTCTTAGTCGAGTTTGTTGCTTGTGGTTCATCATTTTAATTTCAGGCCTGAAACTTAGTTTTCCGTCCTCCAGCCTCGTTGAAAACATCAGCCCACGAAAACGCGATAAGTGGAGCTTTCCAGCAAATGTTCTGAACGAATGGCATAACGAGGCAGTTCTTAAGGAGCCGCGTGCTACCTGTGATCATAGCTTGTTCCTTTGGGAAGCCAAACCAAACTTTATCTCAAACCTAAGGACCATTCTTGGCAAGACAGGAATTGAAGCAACTCTAGGTTAAATGGGAATTTAACTATCCCTCTATTCACAAAACTGGTTAATTAAAAAATAAACTAACTTTTTTTATTTGATTGAACTAGGATTGTGCTGTGTGTGCTGTCACGTTTTTTTGCATGATTATGAAACTACCTGAACAATATTGCTTCCTTGGTTTCAGGCTATCGGAATAATTTACGATCTGGCCGAGTCGCCGGAATCTATTCTCACCAATGTGATTTCTATGTGCGCCGAAAAATTGGCCCTATCCGGTCGTCAGCAATCCAATCAGCCACCCACAAACAGTGATGCAGACCCAAATCAGAATGTGACTGTTGTCGAGCAAAACGTGGACCAGGAAAATCTTCCCAATTTGACCCAGTTGAAGCATGATCCGGAACAATTCCTAGAATCGTTGGTCGTTTTATGCCCAGCATTTATTCTGACCCGATTCCTCGCATTGATTGGTCACATGTGCCTAAAACAGTTAGTTCATCTGGAATCTTCTGTTCTGCACGAACTGAAGCGCAGGGCACTGATCAAGGAGGAACGGGAAGCAAAGGCCAAACCAAAATCGCGAAAAAATAATCGTGCATCACGGGTAAGGAAGTTAATTTGACTAGTATTTTAACATTGTCGTATACGTTTACTCAAACGCAATGTGGTTATTTGCGAATCGTCCAAAGTCGTGGGTAAAGGCACCCACGGAACTCTCAGATTGAAGCTAAGGTATTTCTCATTCACCAGTTATCATCGTCGCACAATCGTATTCGTCAGCTTCATTCTGCCGAGATTCCCATTTTAGTAATTTCCCGGATGAACAATGCAGACCAGCAACATGGACCAGATTGATGGTGTGCTTGTGAACAGTAGGCTAAATTTAAATGAAGTCCATTATGCTAATTTGTTTTTTAAGGGAACGCGGAGCGGTAGTCAACTTGCCTCATCACATGGCCTATCCTGTTCAACTGGTTAGACAGATTTTACCATACTTTTCCGTCTGGCCGTTTTTAGCATGACAATTCCCCTCAGGCTTTGAATACTTAAATAACACTTTATTCTGCAGTCTCCTCGTCGTATTTCTATCAGCTGATAGAAATGGGATACATGTGTAGATGACCTCGATCCTTTGACTAATTCGTAGACTTCTAAATGCCAGATTTCCTATTTGATAATCACTACCTCTGTTTTTTCTTGTTACCTATGTCTGTGTTTCGATATAAACAAATAATCCAGTTTTTGAAACCCACACCCCTATTCTCTCCTTCAAAATCAATTTAGACCTCTTTTATGTCCAGTACCAACAATTCTACTTTGGGTACAAACACCACCGGTCAGCAGACTGCTGAAGAAGAATGCGGTCTGGTCGGCGTAAATGCGGATGATGCCGAGGTGGATTATATTCGACATATATGCGATCACGAATTAATTTCTGCTCCAAACCATTTGTTCACTCCTCTGCTGGCCATGGTCACACACGTGTGCTCTAACCCTACCCGGTTTTCTGACAATTCTGTACAGGTAATTTGTTCGGGTACATGCGACTTTTATCATGTTTGGGATATCATGCATTTTTGGATCTTTTCCATTTTTCCAGCTCAAGAAATTGGTGATGAACGGAGAGCAAGACGGCAAAATATCTCCCTCTAGAACGACCTCAATTTATTTGTTTGTTGTAGCCGGAAGCGGGGATTCTCACACGTCTCATGGAGCAATGGGCTCCATCGCGACTCACTTTGTGTATATTCGTGCTTTGTACAGTTAACCGTATCGTTTGTCTTAGTGTATCGATAGTATTGCCAAATATGCATAGTACTCTGTTTTCATGTTTATTCTTTGCTTCGGTTCTTTTCAAGGGTGATGTGTTAACCGCATAGCTTAATTATATTGTAATCCACTGGATGTCAGAACTACTGCCATCTTTTCCTCATTTTTGCCACCACTGAATTTATCAGACTTTCTCTGTGACTACCCGCTTTAGTTATCACTCATGATTTCGTTCTCTCTATCCTGTCTTCCCCCGGTAGGCAGCCGCGAGTTTGGCGCTGGCTAAAATGATGCTAGTCAATGCAGAAGTGTGCGAGCCTCGACTGCAACTCCTATTCACAATGGCTGAGCGCAGCCAATCCGAGGTGGTTCGCGCGAATCTAATCGTCGCACTGGGGGATCTTTGTCGACGATTTCCCAATCTCATAGAGCCTTGGACGCCCAATTTATACGCGCGGTTGCGTGACTCGTCTGCTCGGGTTCGCACGAACGCTCTGAACACATTAAGCCATCTGATTCTTAACGATATGGTCAAGGTACGTCCGCTTGTCGAGCACCATCTCTAGCTAAGTTTGCACCTCCCATTCTTGTTCTTGCGTGATTTGATGAGCACTTTGTTGGCTGCATCGTGCATTTTTTTCTTCCGCCTGTTTTTCTGTTGATTGTTTTCGCCTTTGCACATTGTGCTGGTATATGCAAGCTGTGAGTTTCAATGTGTCTCGGGTTTTTCTGCAAGTCCGGATAGTGACGAAAACAGAGAGCACAGCAATTGAAGTAGAAGGTTCCCGTATTTAATCGGTTCAACGTTTTTCAGCGCATCGTATTGTGCATATTTTTTCCCGTTTTTCGGATGCATCTGAGTAAGCTGGTTTAATATGGCACAACATTTCTAGGAGGTCAGTGTTACCGGCGGCCTTTTTTTCCAGGATAAGTCGAACTATTTCTGAAATTTTTTACTCATCTTTATGTTTGTGTACTTTTCATTTTCGTCATGGCTTTTGTCACCACTTCCAACGAGGCTCAGGCTCCTGGTTTTCATTAGCATCATTACATTTTTCCATCTCGATCCTCAGTTGATCGATTAACTGACTCTTTGAATGCTGGCTTGACGGCATTCGGGTGTAGTGCGACGTGTAAGCCGAATCGGCCTGCCTGCCTTCCTGCAAGTTGTCTGTTTCTAATTGTTCCCCGGTTTGCGAACCGGCTACCTATTTGCTGTTTATAATAGACTTACTGCTTAATTCGTTGTGTGCTCCTTTACCCAGTTAATTTGAAACACAACATTTGGGAGTTGCATAACGGCTGGCGGAGGTGTGGGTGAGATCTCTCAACGCGTGATCAAAGCTAGATTAGCGTTTACTAATCTGCGGCATCTCTTGCTCCGACATATGCGCGNCGACACATCCCTTTCACTGAAAGTTCGTGTGTATTGCGCAACGGTACGCACCGTGTTGCTCTATGGCTGCGAGACCTGGCCTCTCCGAGCGGATATCAGCGAATATCAGTCTTCGACAACCGTTGTCGGCACAACATCGCCCGCGTATGGTGGGAGCATCGCGTGAATAACGATGAAGTCAGACGACGGGTTCTAGGACCAGATAGTCTTCCGTTGAGCAAAATAATTTCACAGCATCGTCTTAAGTGGCTAGAGCACGTCCTACGAAAGCCTGAGCACCGTCTGCCACACCGTGCATTATTCGCAGACATCGATTCAGGCTGGAAGAAACAACGAGGTGGGCAGGCTATGACGTGACGCAGGGGGTTTAAGAGATTGTGCTCCGATCGGGCTTCCGTTGGGGTTTCTCGGCCCCCCGACTGGGGCCTCAAAGATTCAGATTGTCCTTGGCCGGAGACACTACGGAATATGTCATCGAACCGAAGTCAGTGGCACGAATGCGTCCTCTTTTGTCTGGAATCCCAAAAATAAACGAAAATGAAAATGAACCGCAAAATGACATGCAGTAAACAAACAATAAAATTGTTACTCCCCGAAGTTGACCGTTTTATTTTCCCCGCTTTTGTACCTTTACTTTTGTCCTTCACCCATGGTTATTTGGCGCCGTATCTGTAAAGATTGGTGTTAAATAACTAAATAAATAGTTCCATCAAAACGTGTTCTCGTTTTATTATTAATTTTCTTATGTTTTCACCTTTCTTTTTGTTCAACTCATCTCAAGCTTTCAGCACAGTATATAACGTCATACATGCATTGCATTCCGTCCTTCAGGTGAAAGGCCAAATAAGTGAAATGACCGTGTGCCTTGTGGATGAGATTGACCGACTCAACATTTTGGCGCGTCAGTTCTTCACTGAACTTGCGCACAAAGGCAACGCACTGTACAACGTCATCCCCGACATTGTTAGTCGGTTGAGTGATCCAGATGTCGGGGTTTCAGAGGAGCATTTCCACTCGATTATGGAGTAAGTTTGGTTGAAGTTTAATTTCCTCCAGAAGTGAGCTATGCTTTGACACACTTGTCTACAGTACTTTTTACCTAATGTGCTTTAGAAATCCAAAGAAGTGGATACACCGGCCTTCCTCAACTTTCCTTATCCAATGTTTCTTATTCCCACATCTCAGTTCACCTGTAAAAGCCGTTGGTTTCACATTGGAACGGTTTTTATCATCATCGATGAGGAGCCAACTACAAGGTGTCAAAGTTTGTTCGTCACTATGAGCCTCGTAATGTGTGCAAAACACTGACTTAATCAACCATTGTCGGCGTCACATGAAGTACAGTTCAATGCTGCGGTCATACAACTCTGTAAATGATCAAACTTAAAAAAGAACAACCAGTTCATCACCCGTTTCGTTCCGTTGCTAGTATATTAAAGTAACCTGCCTTAGCACTGTTTGAATAGCAATTAGGAAAAGTGAGAGACTTCTCAGGGCAGCAACCGCGTGTAGTGCGATGTGGAGAGAGGGGGGGCTAGAAGGTAGGTAAATGTACGCATCACACGTAATAACCAACAAGGTGAATTCATCCACTGAAACACTTGGCGCTTTCTCTCGGTATTGCTATCCAACTCGTGCCAGGCTGAGTCAAATCAAGGTCTCACGACCGTAAAGTCGAAGTGGGTCGTTATGTCTCGTTGACACCAAAGGTATTTAGGCGTACGCTGCTGGTGTTTAGAATACCAATGCGATGGGCTCTTGCATGAGTGATTTTAACTCCTCAGTTTTGTATGAGATACGAATTGGATCGTAGAGTGAAATTCATCGTATAAGAACGAATAAAAAGTTGAACCGAAAAACGTTAAAACACTACCGATACAGCATTTTTGTGAAATCATGTATTCGATCGTCATTTAGGCCGTATCATTAGTGTTATTCAGTTGGACTACGCTGTGCTGTTTTAAACTTCTCGTATTCTGTGTATGATTGATTGTACACCGAAAAAATAGAATCTTTTTCTGGTTGAAAAATAATGATGATCCTTTACTTTTTATTATAAACAGTGGTACAGGGAGGTAGATGTGGTTAACTGCCTATGGGCTCCCTGCACTGTAGAAGTTACGTAGTGCTAATGGCAATGGTATCCAAACATGTGATCTCTAGGGCGATATGTTGGTAAAACACCGAAGCACCACCACCGCATGTCAGTTTGCCTTGCAGACTCCACCGGACCCTGTTGACTGAAAAACTTTGGAACCGCTTAACAGCTGTTCTATCAGCATCCGATCCACGAAAGCTTGAGACAGCACGAGGGTTTGATAATCCAGCGCTTAACCCACTTAGAACTTCCTGTCCAATATCGAACTTCTCGTTGAAGTCTTGAGCCTGTTATTCTTTAATGAAACGGAACAGAAACTCCGGTACTTATCTGTTTTGTTTCTTTTTGTGGTGAACTCTTTTCATAATGGTTTTCCTTATCTTGAAATTCCGTAGTCTATGAAACTTTCATTTCCCCCACATCGATCAATGGTCACCCCGTTTTACACCCTACATTACACCGATTACACCTGAAAGTATTTTTATCTATAAATTCGTTTGGTTTGGTTTTCTTTCAGCTTTTTAATTCCGCTGATTGGCCGAGAGCGATTGTGCGAAACGCTCGTGGAGAAAATCTGTGCCCGATTCCGGACGACCACGTAGGTTGCATTACTTTCTATCTTGGAACATTGTATAACATATCAAACCTTATTGTTCCTTGTTGTTCAATTTGCCGGCCGGTCGAGAAAACTAGCTTACTGTGTACTTGAATTGTAAATTGGTTTGTAAACTGCCAGAATATCGTTCCCGTCCCGTTGGAGTCATTGAGCCTTCCATACACAGTGCGGCATTCAGTTGTGAATGCACGACCCATCTCTAACAAGTTTGTGTTATGGGTTAGGTGTGAACAAGTTTACAGTTAAACCAGCACAGCTGGACCGGAGGTATTTTGAGAGAATGCGCGAAATCAGTCTGAACACCTTTTATTAAAAACGGTTACAGGTTGTGTAAAAGGTACACAAACAATTATTGCATGTTAAATACATTTATTGTGAAAATGCATGTTGCCGATTCAGTCCTAAGTGTTCAGCTTGTGACCGTGCTTGTTTCAGTTAGAGCTTCTACGCTGTATTACATCAGAGGCTTGGTAGATAATAACAGTAATAGATGGTCGTATTTTACTTCACTTAATGTACAATGGTATGATCGGTTTGCTGCAAGGGGGCTGCAGGCTAGTCGAAGACTGTCTATGTACGTACAGAAATTGTTAAGCACAGTCAATACTGTTCATATCACCCAGCTTCCCTAAATATTGATTCGTTTGTTCATGAAGTCCCCAACTAGGAACTATACTGCAATCTGTGCAGCTCTCGTTCTTTTTGTATGTTTATTTTTCTGACGCTCCTAGCTTTTCGTTCCTTCGTTTACTTTTTCGTCATTTTTCCACCAAGTCAGTTGCCGAAAGAGAGCAACAAAACCCCTCACACGACAGTTCAAGGTTGATGGTTATGATAATTGAAACTGAAATACTGAGGATAATTCATATCCATCAAGCCTACTGTTAGTCTATCGCGACTCAAATTTTAGAGCTTGAATTGGCAATGCGCATAGGTCCCCAATAAAAAACTAAATCCTGCTGCGTACTGTGTTGGGTTTAGCGCATCCAGGAGCGTGCAAAATACATACGGGCGTAAATCTTTCCCATTTCCGTCAATATACCTGCGATTCCGAAATTAATTTTTAAATTATGTTTGGCGTAGACATCTGCATCAAACGTCTTCGCCAGTTTTGTTTCCCGGTAGTAAGTTGTGTCAATTGTAGTTCATCATCATTTGGTTAGCTTTATTCCCGGTCCCACTTTTATCACATTTTCCGTTTTCTTTGGTTCCAAATTTTCACGTCCAACTCTTTATTGACAAAAAATATTGAAATAATGGATACTAGTTCAAAGAGGTCCACCTCGCGCCTAGAAAAGGTGGACCTCATCGTGCGGCAGACTTGCAGTAACTAATACCAGTGAAGTTGGACTGACTGAGATCGAATCCCCAACCTCGGGGACAGCAATCCAAGTTGTCCAATCATCAGCATGGTAATTTCCTGGTTCGATAGTTTATTTCAAAATACTGAGGTGGGGGTCAAGCGATTTAAGTTGCGTTTACTGGTTTATCTTCTTTTTCGAACCCCACCACCACCACCAGACTTCAGTGGTAGTCAGCTTTACTGTCACCCGGCTCTATACCACGCCTATGCCAGTGGTTCTTCACCCTAGTTCATGCGGGTTATGTTGGCGGTTTCCATGAGTGAACAGCAACTACTTGTGACTATGGGTTTACCTCTTTTGTTGGTCAACACAGGACAGTGTAAGAAAGAAAATCTGTAACTCTGTAATTTCGATGTCGTTCACTGAAATCCCATTAGAATACTCACTCGTTGCAGAGCAGAGACATTCAGCCGCATTGGTTCTGGTTCCAGTTTATAGAATCATTTAGCGTGCACTTCCAGCCACTGAAAGTGATTGTCGTCTTTCGGTTACTTGTGTTGTCGACCAACGAGGAAAGCTAGTGAGCACGAAAAGCTGAGAGATGTACCAAGACGGATATGGAGGATGCTGATGTTTGCAGATGTCATGCAAATTATTAAAGGTACTCAGTTTACCTAGTCTTCAAGCTGGCTTCCAGTGTTCCAACTGAGAATCCTGACAAACTACACGACCAAGTCCACCGGTCAAGATTTTGATACTCCGTATCCGTTTACATGCTCCAGCCACCGTACGGAAAGATGCGAAAACCGACTAGCATTTATATACATTCGTACAACAGCGAGCCTTTGGGATCCCGGGAACTGCTCATATTTATTTATACAGCACATTCTCAATATGGTCTGTTTTGCAACTGGCATCTAGTCTTGAATTCCGGTTTTTCATATTTCTCGAGCCAACGGAGAAAAGGGTGCCACAATGTAATTTATTCCCAAATCGTCAGTTCCTCTTATTTCTCTTATACTCCATCTTCCAGTTTGCAACGTCAGTGGCGGGACCTTGCTCATTGTCTGACTGTGATGTCATTCAACGAACGCATGATGCGTGTCCTGTATGAGAATATTACAGCGTTTGCAGATAAACTTTCAGTTCCCGAAGTGTACTCCGCGTTTGAGATCCTCATTACAAATGCAAAGAAAACCACCAAACCAGATGGAATGGCACGCTTAGAGGAATTCGAAGCGAAAGTGAATGAAGTACGTTCCCTGTCACTTCATGACCGTTCTCGTTGAATTACCCGGTGTGGTTAAATTATAGACGATTGTTATCAGCGCCAGTTTGTTGTGTGATTTTGCGAATGTCCAGTAGTTATTCTTCCTTCTGGAATTGTGTTGTTGTGTTGATTGCTGTTTTCTCGGTCGATTCAGTCATTTCAACCACGCTCTTCGATGAGTTTTTTTAAGACACACATTTGTGTTATGAACAACAGATGGGGTGAACCCCATACTCGCGAAGATCTGTTCGGTGATGAAAACCGGCAACCTAACCCCCGGTACTCGGAGTGGTGAACCACCTGAGGCCCCGCTAGGATGGGCGCACTGCACGGTTGACAGTAAAGCTAGTTACCTACCACCAAAGTTGGGTGGTAGTGGCGGAGTTCGGACTATAGGGTCCAAAGCGCGCCAGTGACAGGAATCAGACGACTGCACCACAATCAGAACGGGATTGATGGAAGAAGTTCACACAATCCGTGTATCGAATCTAGCCAGGAATACAGCATTTATACTAATTGTTTTTTATCTTAAAAATACCTTCATTTCTACCGCAATAAAGCGAAGGTGTGATTTCGCGCTGTGCATCATTTCAGAGTACGCCTGTTTTAACCGGATTTCAGTTTTGATTTCCGTTGACACTCGTTACTCGCGATTTCACTCGTGAGGATCGACCACATATTCACTCTTTGTAAAATCCTGTAGCACCGATATTCTTTTCGTAGACCCGCCATCTCTGAATTTTTCCTCGATCTGAGAGCGGCTTTCGACTCCGTCGACCGCTGTAAATTCTGTCGCTGACTCTTCTTTAAGGGCATACCCGAGAAGTTTATCTCGATAATACTATCCCTTTATACTAATCAGTTTTTCAGTTTGAACAACCATTAACCATGCACTTTCGTGCGCCGGTTTTGGTTGCTGTCTTTTGGCTGCCCATTGGGATGAAGATTAGGAGAGGAAAGGAAAGTTGAAAGTGAATTCGAAAGGAAAATGGAGAAGTTCAGTGGACTAAGGTTGGAAAGAAATTGAGGAGATGCACGAACGCGACTGTTTACGACACCCAGCCATATCGCTCAGTGTCTCTAACCATCGGTTACGATCATCCCGAGGTCCCCAGCCAGGGAGCCTAACAGGACCTATGTGACCCAGTTTATACTAATAGCCGAAGTCGAGTCTGAGCATAGGACACTTTTTCGCCTGAGTTCACCCCTGAAAAAGTGATGCTATTCAGGATTACCCCCTCTGCTTTTTTTATTTAACTTTGTTATAGATTTGATGGTGGAAACAGCTCTATCCTCGTGCGAGGATAGCGTATCGACTGTCTGATATAGAAAGTGCAGATGACATGGTACCACTAAGCGAAGTTGCAGTCTTTTTTTGGATAGTTTGAGTGTAGTCACGTTCGATATGAGTTTTGCACCTTCAAAGTGCGAAATATTGCTACAGGAATGGGTTAATCCAGCGCCTAGTCCCACGCCAGTAATGGTACGGAACAAATTTGACTACTTGAGCAGCTATATTTCATATCTCTCAATCTGGGGGCTTTCAACGTGAGGACTCTTATGCAGGTGGGTCAACAGGCGTCTTACGCGTACAATGGAGTCTCTAGAAGTCGATGTCTGTTGCGTATCGGAGACTCGAATTTAGGATCCTAGTTTTATAAGCCACCTGGGTACGCCGGGTCTGTCCTCGAGGTATCTCCTTGGCAGATCAAGAGACGACGAAGCTCGCTCACTGGGTCAACGTGGTGTAGGGGTCGTACTAAACGATAAAGCTGAAGCCTCTATGATAAATTGGATACCCGTCAGTATTCGTTTGTATGCAATGAGGCTCCAGGGTTCGGTTAGTGTTCGGAAGGGTAGCAACACCAAAAGGTGTTTTATCATTTTCGAATATGCACCAACCGACTGCAGTCCCGCTTCACAATAGAACAAATTTTATGACAATCTCGCCGAACTGATTCGGCCGACCTGCAACTCTGATATTTTAGTTAAAGCAAGTGTTTTTTAACGCGCAGGTTGGAAAACTGAGTGCATCCGAGGCCTGTCTAGGAGGGCACTTCGCCCAGTGAACAGACAACGGTAATCGACTACTTTAGTCCTGCGCTGATCACCGGTTGTTCCTACTTAGCAGCAACTTTCGACACAGCTCTCGTCGGACGGCTACATGGTATTCTAGTTCAACGGAAAAATTGACCCAAATAGATCATACAGCTGTAAGCTACCGTTGGTGTGGTTCTGTACAAAATTGCAGATCCTATTGGTCCATTTGCGTTGAGTCTGACCATGCACTAGTTCTGTTACGCTTCATTCTCCGACTCATTGGTCATCGGCAGAAATCGCCTCCTCAATTAGCTCATCATCGTCTGCGCGATCCGGCTGTCTGCGCACGTTATGAGGAGAAGCTGGAACAGACGCTAGGAGAACCGTGACATTGTGGAGTAGACCAACAGTGGAATCAGATTAGATTTGCGATACACTCAGCTGCAAACTTTGCTTGTGGGACTGAGCCCGAAGTTCGCCGAAGGCATCGAATCTCAGGAGTCAGTAATCCTAATGGATCAAAAGCGTAAGATCCCAATCTGCCAGGATCAGCATAAGGACCGGTGTCGCCTGCCGGTCAACTCAGAAATAGCCTTAAGAAAGATCGTGAAAACTGGTGGGCCAAAATAGCTAGTGAAATGGAGGTAGCTTCTGCATCAGGGAATAGTCAGACTGTTTCACCTGACACGTAGCACTGGAGGTCATTGCATACTAGTTAGTGAGACCATCTGTGATAAAAGTGGACAGAGTATCCACAATAAAGAAGAACGACTTGATCGATGGTCAGTTTAATTGGCCTAGTGCTAATACTGTCATTCCAGCAATTACAGCGGAAGCTCTTTGGGTAGTAATATGTGCCCCTCCCCATCGGAATTGGAAATACGAAGCTGCATTCAATCATTGAAGGGGAAGGCTGCGGGACCTGATGGGCTTCTTCCTGTTCTTTTCAAAGTGGGCGGTGATTCTCTTGTCGACTCGATTACTAGCTTAACTCCCAGCATTTGGACGGAGGAGCGTACCCCTGTGTTCTGGAGTGAATCTTTGATCGTCCCGATCTTCAAGAAGGAAGCACACAACGACCGTGCCAACCACCGCGGGATTAGTTTGGTTCCGATAATCACAAAAGTGTTAACTTCTGTGACACTTTGTCGCCTGACACCCTCAAGGGAGATGAATATCCGCGAACAGCAGACCGGATTCCGACCAGATTGCGGTGGCATCGACTATATCTTCACTCTGCATCAAGTCTTCGAACTGCGTCACACACATCGTCGGTCAACAAACACAGTGTTCCTTGACTTAAAAGGAGCCTTCGATTCAGTTGACTGTGATGCTCTTCTGGGGTCGTTGCTCCGCAAGGAATGCCGTGGAAGTCTGTTAACCTATTGCGATCGCTGTACCTGCATACTTCTGGTAGCCTAAGGGTCTACATTGGGGTAAGTAGATCCTTAGAAACCAGGAGCAGTGTTCGTCAATGGTGCTCCATTTCACTATTCTTGTTCAATTTCGTTGTATACAAATACTGGAGAACGCACTTAGTGGTCTCCAATATGTAGGTATTGAATGGGTAGCTGGAGAAAATCTGTGCGACTTAGAGTACGCTAATGACATCGCATGCCATTTCGAATGTATGGAGAACTTGCAAAGCGCTCTTGACAGACTAGCAAGTTCTGTATCTCCTTTCGGTATGCGCTTTGCACTTTGAAAGTGCAAAGTAATGCTACAAGATTGGGTATCGTCTACCCAACGCTGATGCTTGATGGTCAAGAATTAGCTGTCGTGGAATGTTTTACGTGCTTAGCTCCGTAACAAATGATAGTAGCATAGTCACTGAAGTAACCGCCCGCATTTCCAAGGCTCGAGCAACTTATGAAGGACTGAAACACCTTTGGTGCAAGCGCGTTTTTTCATCACCATCATCATTGTACAGCGTAATACAGTGAAGTGAACTTCACTGATCACTGCCAAACTCATATTATTATATTTCATACTTGTCTGAGGAGACTGTGTGCCAGGTAAATCATGGTAATCTTTATAAAAAGAAAAGCGTTCCATGATTGGCTTATGGGCTGAATACTGCCAGGTTGCCCAGACCAAGACAGAAACTCATATTGCATACAAAGTAAGTGAGAATTTGTAAGGAGGATAGGGATTCGACTGCGGTAGGCAAACGTCGGACGTACGCAAAACGTGTCCTAACCGACGGAGCCTATTGAGCTGAATTCGATGCGATAGCGAGTTTTTGTTCGATGAATTCCCAAACACCCGACGACGATAACGGAGTAGCAGGTCTTTGTGACTATGGCGTTCGCCCAGTCTGCTGTTCACCCCACAAATGTGTGTAACAAAAATTTTAAAAAAATAACTCGCTCATTCCATCCCACTTGGGCCAAACTACGTAAGCATCCATTGTCGAAAACAATTAGGCGACGGATGTCTTCTACTCGCAAAGTGGAATTGATTGCACAGTGGCGCAGTATACGCGACTTTTCAACTTCAGTGAAACGTCACGTCACTGCCACAGGCGTTTAAGTCCTGCATACGCTGCTCGAGCCTTGGAAATGCGGCCGGTTATCTCCTTTGATGCGCTACCGTCGTTGGTCACGCAGCTACCTAAGTACGAGAAGCAGTGAACTACAGCTAATTCCTGACCGTCTAGTTTCAGAGCAGAACTCGGCGACACCCAATCTTGTAGCATCACTGTGCACTTTGAAGGTGTAAAGCACATGCCAAATGGAGCGACAGAACTTGCTAACCTGTCAAGTGCTCTTTGTGCATCCTCCGTACATTCGAACAAGCAAACGATGTCGTCAGTGTACTCCAAATCGCACAGCCTTTCACCAGTTGTCCGTCCATTCAGTACCTACATTTTGGAGACCATTTGGTGCATTCTCCAGCATTTCGTCTATGATGAAATTGAACAGGAATGGCGAAAGAGGGCACTCATGACGAATACCGCTGCTAGTTACGAACGACCTA